TATATATATATATATATATATATATATATATATATATATATATATATATATATATATATATATATATATATATATATATATATATATATATATATATATATATATATATATATCGGTTCATGTGAGAATGACTCTTAGTGAAAGAAATAAGAATAAATAATGCACGTTGATATTGAAAATGATGGATACCCTGGATATCCAACCCAATATAAACAATAACGGTCCAACGCAAGGCCCATCTAATCACAGGAATCGGACGCGCTCGGCCAAAAACGTCTTACTTGGCTGAGCGGGACTTAAAGAAAACCAAGCCCTCAAGGTGGCAACCGCGATAGAGTCGTGTACTCGGCCCGTACTGCCAATAAAACAAGGAAGGCTTATCATGAGCATGAGATCATGTACTCCATGTCTACTCTACTGGCCCACACAAGAGAATCTCTGACACTATTCATTTGTGCATTATTTGTAGCCATACTATTTATAATTACATCTATTGTATTATTAGTCATAGATACGATTTCAATGGGCCCGGCCCACTATAACTCGGTTTGTGCACAAAATGCCTCAATCTGTTACACCTCTTCTAAGAATCCTTCTAAGGACGTGTGACACAAATCACCTATCCTGACCAAAATCAATGGCCGGGTGCAGAACCATCAACGAGGTCTTCATCCGATCTAGAACTCTATATATCACCAAGAGTTCAAATTTCAGTGGAACGTTATCCCCAAGAGTTTTAACATCAGTAGAATGTTATCTCCAAGAGTTCCATCGAGCTCAGACTCCTCTTTTAAAGATAAATACCCAAACATGAGCTCGTAAAGAGTAAGTCATCATGGCTGGACTCTCTTAATATTGGAAGATGACAGACAGGATACTACAACTCCGATCTATACTCAAATAACTAATAACATACGATTCTACTACACTCTCATTTTGTCAAAAAATAATGTCAACCGGAGTTATAACTCAAGATGACATAACAAGAACTTAGGGTACCAACAAATTTTATATTAAAATACACTGTAATTTTTTTAAACTTAAAATTTATCTACTTTAACCCGAAAAAAACTAGAACCAAGATAAATTAATATTTAAAATCCAACAAGGGGATAGACATATGGTACTGATGGATTAGGGATTTTTCCTAATCCAATATTATTTGAACAGTGCAAGAAAGCCCAATTTTATCTGGCCCAAGATATAAATCAGATAAATTATTCAAGACAGAACCAGAGGTATATGGACAGAAGAATATATTTGAGGTGATATAAAAATATTCCGTGGAGCCCATATATAAAACATGTGCACATGGAGGTGACATGGCCACCTCATGGCATTGTTGGGGATGCATGCATGTACTTCCCTTTAAATACAATGCTACGCAGGACGGAAGGGGGGAGGCCAAGACTAGATTCCTACAAGTTCCTACTACTATATTCTTCATTTTTCTTCTTCTTTTAGCTTGGAACTCCATTAATGATTCCAAGTTCCTACAATGATATATATGAAAACTCCCCTGAGATTAATAAAAGTTCCTCCCCCTTTGGCATGGCACCGCCAAAAAAGGCCCGTGGTTTTCTCCCGATTCTGGTTTCCACGTATAAATATTTTCTCTCCGCTTTATTTATTTACTTAATTTCCGGATTTCGCTATTCGGTGCGGTGCCGACCCGGTACCGATTTCATCGGGTCGACGCCCCGAAAAAGCGGTTTCCATCACAGGCGCCATCCGTGGGACTCGTCACAAAAAGCTTTTGTGTTCCGAGTCCGTAATAGAGAAAAAAAGTGGGTTGAGAAAGTAAAAAAAACAAAACAAAAAAAAGGAGGGATACGAAGTGAGAATCAAGAAGGAAAAAAAAGGTTGAAAAGTCAGAGAAGAGAAAAGAATAGGAAAAGGGAGGAGTGGTCTTCTTCACAGATCCGGTGACAACCAACTGCGAGCATCGACAGGCATTTGACGAGCACCGGCGAGCCTCTCTTCCTTGAGGCGTGCTGATCCAGCACCCTAGCGAGCCACTCCCGGTCCTCTCCGGCGAGCCACTCTTTCCGTCGGTCCACAACGAGGTCCAACGAGCCTCCTCCTTCCTCCGGCAAACCATGAAGAACAGCGGGATCTTCTCGGCGGACGGCGAGCTAGAGTCCGGACCACCAGCGAGCCACGGACCGCGGGGATCTTTCCGGCAAGCAGCAAGCACGCGGTAGGGCCGCCGGTAGTACCCTCCACCAGGGTCGGTGAGCATCCTCCCAGATCGGCGAGCCCTCTAGCGTGCTTCACCTCCGACGGGATCCAGCGGCGAACCACAGCCACTTTAGCATCGATCCAGCAGCGAGCTCCCACTTCTCCCGGCGAGCCGCAAACGGCAGTGGGGAGCTGCGGACGGCAGTGGCGAGCCGTCGACGGCAGAGGTGAGCCGCTGACGGCAGTGTCGAGCTTCCTTTCCAACAGTCCTCATTTTCAGTGGCGAGCCTCCTTTCCAGCGGTCCTCCTTTCCAGTGGTCCTCATTTTTGGCGGCGGTCCTCCTTTCCAGCCGTCCTCATTCCGGGCAGTCCTCCTTTTCAGCGGTCCTCATTTCCGAGCCACTCCTTCTGTTGGTCCACCAGCTGTGGTCCTCTCTCGCAGTCCTCTCCCGCGGTCCTCTTCAACGAGCCTAGGACGGATTTGGCTTCAAGTGGACCATTACAACTTCTAGGATCCATCAAGTGAACTGCTCCAACTTTATG